CCTCCTACTTCAGTGTTGTCTCGACCGGCCCAAATTTCGGCCCCCTTTCGGCACCCCCCCCTTTTGGACATCTCTGGATCCGCCCCTGTGGGAAGGAAACAAGTGTCCAGAATATCGGCACGTAGCACAAGAGTTGTGTGTAGTAGGAAAACTAGTAATGAAGGGGCCAAGAATGGTTGTACCAAAGAGTCTGAGGTGGACTATAATGGAGATTGGCCATGAGGGACACCCTGGAATCGTTAACATGAAACAGAGATTCAGAACAAAAGTATGGAGGCCAAAAATAGACAAGGATATTGAAGAGTTTGTAAAGAAATATCCGGGCTGCCAGTTGGTAGGACAAGCGGAACCACCAGAACCTTTAATGAGTACCGAGCTTCCGGATGGTCCATGGAGATCGGTATGAGTAGATTTTCTGGGACCATTACCAACAGGGGATTACATTCTCTTCGTTGTTGATTATTACAGTAGGTTCTATGAAATAGACATTATGAGAAGTACAACAGCTGATAGAAATGTACGTTCGCTAGAAGTTAATTTATGTTTGCGCGACATGGCTTACCGCAAGTCATTGTCAGTGACAATGGCCCACAATTCATATCAGGAGAGTTTTTGTAGAGGTAAATGGAATATAAGCATCAGAAGGTGACACCGAAATGGGCACAAGCAAATGGGGAGGTTGAAAGTCAGAATAAATCAATCTTGAAGTGACTTAAGATAGCGCATACTATGAAGACAGATTGGAAACGAGAGCTTACACGATATTTAGCTGTGTATAGAACAACTCCTCATCCTTCAACAGGCAAGACACCTGCTGAATTGCTAATGGGTAGAGCCTTAAGGACCAAATTACCAGAATTAGAGAGAGTGTTTTGTAGACGAGGAGGTTAAAGATAGAGATCAGTTGATGAAGTGGAAATCAAGGCAGTATGTGGACGTGAAACATAACTCACGTCACAGCAATGTTAGACCAGGAGATGGTGTTCTTCTTTGCCAGGAAGCGAGAGACAAGTTCTTGACAAAGTTTGAACCTAGAGTGTATGACGTAGTTTCTAGATATGGTAAATCAAGTCACTATAAGTGATCGGGATGATGCAAACAGGCGTCGTCGGAAACGAAATATTACACATGTGAAGAGGTTTTATGGTAGTAGACCACTAACAGATGACGTCACAGTTGAGGATACGGCACTCGATGACTTAATGGAAACTGTACATGAGGAGGGTCCAACAATCAATGAGACCCAAACTCCAGAACCGCAAAGGAGGTATCCTCTGCGTATTAGGAAGAAACCGGATAGACTTGATTTGTAAAGATGACGAGAGTAGTAGTAGTGATTAAAAATGTTGTGTTATAATAGTTTGTAAAGATGTTGTTCAAGAGTAGTCGAAGTGATGATGTTGTTATGTTCGTTAAAAAAAAAAAAATTCATACACACAGATACAGTATATGGTAATTATGTTAACTACCATTATAACATTGTGAAGTACTGTAGATAACGAAATAAAAAAAACCAGCACTCACTTTTCAGGTTTATTAACATAATTTGCAATATTAATGCATATTGGTTTGGTAGACTATTTACAGTTTGTTTCAAAGACTTGCAGTACATGCTTGTAAAATGTTTAACGGTTTTCTAACATAATTTGCAATATTAATGCATATTGGTTTGGTAGACTATTTACAGTTTGTTTCAAAGACTTGCAGTACATGCTTGTAAAATGTTTAACGGTTTTCATTTAATTTTTGAATTGTTTGTTAAGCTATTGTTGGATAGAGTAATCTGAAAAAGGAGGGATGTAGTGTACTCAAAGTTGTATATCGCCCTCTATTATTGTAAGAGCAGAGAAAGTTCAAGTTGGTTGTGATGGTTGTTGAATATGGTGGATAATAAAGACAACTGGTTTGGATTACTTAGATGTGGTTTTGTTGTTCATTTGTCTCAGTGTGTGAATGAGAGACATAACAACTGTGAGCATAGTTTAGAAAAAAAACTAATCCTCATAATGCTATTAGTGCCCCTGTGAAAGAAAGTTAATTATTACATAAATACATTTTTGTGTACTGTAGTTTGTATTGTATGATTATCAACCAAACTGTATATAATCATATACCCTAAAATCTCGAATTGAAGCCCAATGGGCTTAATCTCAAGGAGAATCCCCATCCCAAATTTAAAGGCCCCACTCCATCAGTTTGCAAAATTAGCCTCGAAAAATAGCCCATAATCTTGGCTTTTTTTCATACACTGTACATGAATTTCAAATAAACAAAATAAATTAAAAACATGCTTTATACTGTAGTTATTTATTGTTTTATAGTGCTAATTCCAAAATTTTACAGCATTCATTTTGAAAAGAAGCTCCCCTCTTTACTTTGCAAAAGTGGCCTCGAAAAAGAAGCCCATCTCGAAAAAAGCCCATCCAAAGTTGGCAAAAAAAGAAGCCCCGGGCTTCAATTTGAGGTTTTACAGTAGGCTAATTATAGTTACGAGTAATTAACATTAATTTAGTTTTTCATTAAATTTGATAGCATCACTTTTATTGAAAGAAAGTACTCAAAAATACTTTAACTACATTTTTAAGTATAATTAAGTATCAATCTGATTTGTTTTCATAAAGGAACTGGTCTGTGGAAAGCATTTGCTTTCCTTAATTTAGAAGTTAATGGAACAGGATCAATACTACTATACGCTGCTGTTGATATGCTGGATTCTGCCGACTATGGTCTTGATAACAACGGAATGTCAGTTTGGCCAAAGGTGATCTTATACTGGATCTATTCTATTTTTTATATAAAATGTAGCCATAATTTTGTTAAGCACCATTAAGCCATATTACATAAGGCAGAAAATAAATTATGTACCCTAATCCCATTTACATTTGGAAATTAGGGTTGGACATTGTAGAGTTCATTCATCAGTCACCATTACTGGTTCCATACATTTTGGTAGAATTTTGTAACTTATTTAAAAATTCATGGTTTACTTATCAAATTAGTATTTTGAGCTCTTTTGTTGAAAAAAGAATGTAGTTTAAGTTCCCTGTCCGAAGACAAAAACAAATGTTTGATTTTAGATGCATAAGATCTATAAAAGAAGTTTGACCTCTGCTACTAGGAACAAATCATGTTTAAAGTTTTAAATATATTTGTTTTTTATATTTCGAATTTATGCAGCTATGTTAATATTACGTGCTTTGAAATTCCCACAAGCCTAGATCTTGATTGAGGTAGATTCAAATTTCAGTGACCTGGAAAAAAACATATTCACCAAACTTTTTCAAGAAAAAGGATATTTTAACTGTATATTCAAAACATATACAATTTAGAATTTGGGTCAATTGGAATGGTGCATTAGAAAATGAACTTAACTCATAATCAGATAGTGACTAGATTTTTCAGTAAGGTACAATTTACTTAGTAGTGGTTGTGTTTTAACAGATGGTTATAAGCTTACAATTGTAGCTATTGGGGAGTCTGCAACTTGTAGTTGGAGCCTAAAACATCTGACTCTCATTTGACTGATATTGCTGGTTTAGCAAATTGAGCCAGTTAGATTACACAATCAGCCATTGTTTTTTTTTTCAGTAATGGGGCCATTTTTACCTACCTGTCATATGGGGCCATTTTTACCGGGGCCATTTTTTCCGGGGCCATTATTTCCGGGGCCATTTTTTCCGGGGCCATTCTTACCGTACACCGACACAATCAGCCATTGTTTTTGTTCCAGTTTTTAATATAGTGCTCACCATATACCCTTTGTTTTCTTTTATATTAATTTATGTACTATTTTGTCTACAGATTCAAGCCGACTTTGATCTTACTGCCCTTAGTTGTACTGATTTTGATTACGTTTGTGTGGAAGTCCAACAAGGCGATAACCCTGCTCCTGACTTTACACTCACTTATCAACCAAGTACAGCTGATGTTGGCTGTGCTCAAATACAATGCACTGGTGAGTGGACAGTTTAAGGCATGGGAAGTGGGAGGTAGGGATATTGTAAAAATGCAGAATAGAAGTATGAACCAAATTGGAATGAAGTACAGTAAAGTAAATAGTTCAATACGTACTATTTAAGTAGCTAAAGAAACTCAGGTTGGGGACCTGTGGCACCTGTTGTTGAATTGCTCAGTACACCAAAATCAGTTTCCTGCTCTTTTCCCACAAGTGCATCGTTAACGTGTACCTAGACCACGCTGGGCCTATGGTTTATAATCATTCAGGAAGACATTTTCCAGAACCATAGGCAAGCATGCCGTTCAAGCCATCGCCAATACTGTGGCTGCCTACAGTACCACTAGGCCATTCGATTCACCACTCACGATGATAAAGATATTCATTTTTAAGATCATCAATGTTTTTTATTTAAATGGATCACAAATCATGATTATGATTACCGTAACATTTTTGGAGGCTTCAGTGAGGTGGTTATTCGAGATCGGCACTTATAAAAAATATATAAGCTTGGCACTTTCCTTTCTCTTTACCATGTTACGTATCTCGCATATTTCCGTACTTCAGTAGGCCAAATCATCGTATATAAACGTTTATAAAGACATTCTTGTGTCTTTATTGTGTTACTTCTTCATTTTAACACTGAATGCCTTGTATTGAAAACCCTGTTTCTCAAAGTGTTTCATTACACACAGGGTAAATATACTCTTGATTAAGCGCCGCGGCGCTTATTAGAGAGCGGCCCTTAGCGAAAATAATTTTGGTTTGATGTGGCGCTTATTCATGCATTTATGGTATTGGCTGCAACATTATTAGACAAGACTTTTTATACCTTGTTTTGAGAATGTATTTCTTCAATGATCGTCAGGGGAGATTGGAAAAAATAAATAAAATTTGTTTTCTTATTTAACAAATATCCAGACAGAGGAGAAAAGGATTAATGTAAATGCTGAAGTAATGGAATCAATAATGCTTTAGATTTATATAATAATAGAAATAGGCAATTCTTGTTTTTGGAGATTTCAAGGCAGCAGCAGGTGTAATAAAAATAAAGAAAAGCTTTTATTTTTTTCTGAAATTTTTATTTTTTATGGTGGTGGGTGCGATAATTAGCCAAAAATTAAATTTTATTTTAATTTTTATTTTAAATCATCGTTTTTGGCTGACGGCGGGTTTGCTAACCAAGATATAAAAAGAGTCTTGCCTTACCTCCATAGAACTTTAAAAATATGATCAATAATGTATGCATTTGTTTTTATGTCAGGTGGGTAGTAATATGAAGAACATAAAACATGAATTTACTGTTTATATTTCGATTATGATTTCTTTATTTATTTTTTCAGGGCTTGAAATTCTCAGTGGTGCAACTTTGACTATTACTGCTGGTTTCTTAGAAGATCAATCAACAACAGTTGCATTTGATGTTAGTTATCCTACTGGTAATGCTGGGGTTACTGGCGACAATCTTTGGGACGTCAATGTGTATGCAAGTGCTAATGCAGATGGAAGTGGTACAAGGGTTAGTTCTCAACAAGTAGCATTATCAAGTGAGTTCAAATGGCCCCTGTAAATGGGTCTACTTGTTTCATATATCTGACCCACTGATGGTAATGGTAATAATAATATAGAGATCTTTCGATTTGTACGATGGCGCGATGCTCGAAAGGAATTCGCTCATGTGTGACCATCCTGCCGGGCGTCCTACATTCTCTGCATAGGTAGATTTGGCCAGATTGCGTCCTAGAATCCATAGAGAACTTAACGTTCTCGCATGTGCAGATGACTTTTAGTGACGTCATTGCGTTCTACGTCCTACCGTCGTTCAATCGAAAGCTCCATAATAATAATTCAGTAGTTATAAAGTATTCAAACAATAATTTTAATAGATATTATGATGGCAATGATGATGATTATAATAGTGTTATTAAAAATAATAACAAGAAAGACTATTCTTGGTCCTACAGGAGATAACGCATGCTGCCTAGATTGAGCATGCATGCTGACTACATGATGCATGCATACTGCAGCTAACATGAGTCATGCACAGTGGACTACAAGGGGTCTGGAGACTCCTATCAAGGCCCATTTTGGCACCCAAGGTTCTGGACCTTTCAGCCAGTATAGGGCTTATAGATGTATATGCTACTAACTAGCTATACATGCTGTCTTATTTAGGCGTTCATAAAACATGCAGTGAATGCTGCAAACATGATGCTTTCATGAAGTATGTATGCTGCCTACATGAGACATACATGCTATAAATATGAGCCATATGCATTATGCTTATGCTCTAAGTTCAAAATAGAGAATCACAAAAATGATTGAGTTTATTTTTGCATTTTCTTTGTGATGTTCCCCAACAAAAACTTTAATGACAATAATAAATGTAAATTAATTTGAAATTGTTAATTTAATAATGATTATTCTACAGCTGCAAATGCTGGAATGGACATAGCAAGTGTTGGGAACTCACTTGATTTAAACAGCCTAAGTGTTACCATGAACTTCAGTGGTCAATATTGTGGAGACGGCAACATAATGTATCTGTGTGCAGTGCTGACAAAATCTTCATCTGCTAACCCAGACTTTGAAATCTCGCCGTCGAGTAACACAGTTTGTCAAGCAGCACCTTGTACGGGTATGTAAGGCATTAAATGTAGAGGAACATTAGGAATATTGTACATTTCCGAGGTGGCGTGACAAAATGGGTCGTGTCATAAGCAAGGTCAATTTAAAAATTCTCAGATGAAAATTGAGTTCTCATGGTTTCTGATAAGCATATTTTCATAATAGCAAATGTTCTTAGTTAATTTACATACCTTAAGACTTTTGAAGCACTTTTTGTAAGGCTGTTTACCAGAATTTTTTTTATAAGAAACTTTTATAAGTTGTTTATCTTAGAAGAGATTTTGTCCAAAATGTGTTTCAAACACATACATTTCTAAATGATCATATTTCAGATTTTTTTTTGTTACCACAAGTGTGGGTATTCTTGATTGGTTATAAAATATTTTCACTTGTTTTAAATGCTTTTGTTATCTTTTTGCTATATAATTATCAAATTCTGATAACATTTACAGGCAGTTTAATTTAACACAATTAGATAAAATAAATGAATTAATATTTTTAATGGTTAGATAGTACTTATATATGAAAATAAGACCTGATGTTCAATATTAACCTACTTCTGAACCTAAAAGATGCTGAAGCCTTATGCAGAATTTACAATACAACTTTTTTTTAAAGCTATTTAATATTTAATGGTTTAGCAATCGTTTGCTCCTTCCACAATAAAAAGATAGTTTCTAAAGTCTCTTTTTAAACACAGAAAACGTAATAAACAAACAATTATTATAATGATAATGATTTGTCTTTTGCGATACAGGTGTGTTGATCTCTAGTGTAGTTCCATCAACATCTGATAGCATTTTGCAGAATCGAGAATCAACAATCTCTAAAGCTATTTAATATTTAATGGTTTAGCAATCGTTTGCTCCTTCCACAATAAAAAGATAGTCTCATGTCTCTTTTTAAACACAGAAAACGTAATAAACAAACAATTATTATAATGATAATGATTTGTCTTTTGCGATACAGGTGTGTTGATCTCTAGTGTGGTTCCATCAACATCCGATAGCATTTTGCAGAATCGAGAATCAACAATCTCTCTTGATATAGACCTTACAGCCGATAGTAATGGCGGTAGTGTTAGTGGCACAGGACTGTGGGATGTTGAGGTGTTCACAAGTGCAAGTGACACTACAATTGCTGCTGTTGTCACTGCTACAGTTACTGTAGGCTCAGCTGAGAATGAAGATGTGACTGCTGGGTCAACAAGCACCCTGACAGGAATAGCTGCAGTTTTTGACCTGACGTCTCAGGAGTGTATAGATGTACCTTTTATCTGTGTACGTGTTTCTCGAGGATCTCCGTCTGTAAATTTTCAGTTGAATGCTATTAGTACTTTAGAAGGCTGTTTTGTACCAGATTGTAAAGGTATTTAGTATTACAATATGATATTTAATTAAAGTGTTTGGTGCAGAGGACTGAATCCATTATTCATGTGCCATATTCCAGAATATGTATGAATATTTCTTTGTAAAAGATGAAAAGTCTAAAATTGGTAAATGATTTTGTTAATGGTAATTATAATGCGAGAAATTAAGACTTTTTAGGTTAATGTAGTCAATTATTAATTTTATAGAAACAATAATATTTTAATAGTTATTAATATTAGTAAAAATAATAAAATAGTAAAAACAATAATAACAATAGAAATGACCATAAAATAATAATTATAATGGAAAAGAAAATCAAAATATTGATGGTAAAGTTAATAAAAATGTTAAGTAAATTTATGGTACCATTAACTTGAGAGAAAATGATTTATTTAATTATGATAATGACATTATAATACTTAAATTATCATTTTCTAATGTTTTAAAAAAAGTGTATATTTTGATACAACTATGCATAGTGTTGAAAATATCTCAGCTTTTCGTAGAGAATGCTATCGTCATCTTGAGGAGAACGATTAAGGTATCTCTGTCATCATAATGTGTTTATATGGTGACCAGAATAGTTAGTGATATTAATATTGATAGAGCCTGATGATATTGATTGACAAACAAACAACTAAAAGACAGAAGTTGTTAGGTGTTCTGATGACAATGACTGGCGCTGTCTAAATGCCTATTAACACAAAGCGCAATAGCGCATACAACAACAATGTAAACACTTACTACAGTGCTATATATGTAATTAACCCAGCGTGTGACAACAATTGTCACATATGCAACTTCTGTGTTTTTTTCTGTGAGGCATGACCAGAGTCACTGATTGGTCAGATTTGTAATGATATATAAAATAATCATATTAACAAAATATATTAATAGCTCATTTTACAAAATAATAAAAGCAACATAAATTTGATCTATACAAATCCTTTTTATTTTTTTTTTTAGGAGTAAGCATCACATCTTTCAGGGTAAGGGCAGATAACACTCTCTACATCACTGAATACCAAACAACAATGTTAACAGCCTCTGTGAACCTTCAGGTGGTAACAGATTTCAATGATGGCAGCGCTATTAATGGCCTTGACCTATGGAAGGTTTTGATATACTTGAGTGGAAATGCTGATTGCTCTGGTACAGAGAGTGCTATCAAAGAAGGTGACCTATCAAGTCTCAGTGCTAAAACTCTTCCTGCAGGTGCCGTTGTTGGCTTTGATGGTATCACTGCAAGTTTGAATGTCTCAAGCCTTATGTGTTCTGATATGGAGTACATTTGCGTAAATTTTACTCGAAATGATGGCGAAACATTTTCATTGACCCCACTTGTTAGTACAGCAAGTGATGACACAGATTGTAGAGGTAAGGGCTAAGTTTTGGCAAATGTCTACTATCACTGATAGACATTCGTAGAAAAATAAATATTTCTTTAAGCTTTTGAGAGAATACAGTAATGAAATTTGTTGTTTCGGTGCGGAGAGGTAAAACTTTTTGATGGCTCCATATAGGCTGGGTTACGACCTGGCTTTGGTCTCCTGCTTACAAGATTCTTACATCTAAATTTGTTACTTGAGTATTTAAAATAGGCCTAGAAAAGCCTAAAATATTCTTATTAATCTTTCAGTTTCTTTAGTAGGGAGGTCCATTGATACAGAGGAATTCATGAATTTGAAGTGATTTTGTCCGGGTTCTAATTGACCTCGTTCTATGCATGTCATGTTTTCAGTTACCACTTACCAACAAATGATGATTAGACTAGCGTGTCCATCTCTTTCAGCAGATTGGCGTCGGGACTAGGTGTAAAAACACTAGCCTAGAATCCACGTTATTGAATAACAATCAAATCAGATACACTGTACAAGTTGTTTTGACCTTTTGCGCATGAGTTGAAAAAAAAGGTCAAGCAAATTGTACACTCATGACGTAAACTAATGAAAAATAAATAATGTTGGTGTTACAATGATGATGCCATGATTGATATATAATCGTTTATTTATTTATTTAATTATACAGTATATCATTTTTATTTATAAGTTGAATAAATATAGCTTGATTTTTCACTTTTATTTTAAAAGAGAACACCTATTAAGATGACTTAAAGAGTAATACAAATCCACACGAATAAGTGTTGATTATTTTGTTGTATCAACGATACATCAACAAGTGAGAGAGGAGTTTGGCAGGCAAGGTCTTATATACTGTGCAAATAAGCAAACAGGTGAAGTGAAAGTATCTAGAGAGCCAAGTATAGAGGGTGCGAAATAAGGATGATCAAGTAATGAGAAAAGCGTCATTGAACTCATTCTCATTTATTTGTTTACTTTTCTTTCCGACATGACTGTATGAGTACTGTACAAACACATTGTGCAAGTATACTCAACTGACGTTATGCAGAGTAACGAAAGGTGATGATGATAATGATAATCCTCTAAACTAAGTCTGCTTATGATATTTTAAGTAAGATGCTTAATTTTTTTTTTTTAATGAAATTCAAATGCAGCTTATTGTTGTTTTTTTTTTGTTTTTTTTTGTATGTCCTTTTTCTTAGTCAAATCTTTTTTTCTATCTTGTTTTTGCAGGTGTATTAATAACAAGCGTAGCATTTACAGACAGCTTAGAAGTGATTGAACTATCACCTGCCTCGGAAAATAGCATCACAATAACATCTTTGAGTGTCACCTCTAGTAGTACTGGTGCAAGTATCACAGGGATGGATTTATGGGAGGCTATAATTTTTGTTAATGCAGATGATAGTACATTCCCAGATACTCCAGTAGGACCAACCGAACAATTAACTAATATGAATCTTGCTGCTGGTAGTGTAAGTAATAAAAATATTATGTTTTAGGCTTATGTAGTTTATAAACATTGACTGTTCATGAGGGGAATGGTCAAATCTATTGCCTGAGGTGATGTGGAGACGGAATACTACTATCTTCCCGAAGGCCTCCTAGGCCTAGGTGGTCGAATGCAAGTCTCTCTTGTCATAAAGGTTGCAGTCCCTTTTTACGTCTGTGCGTGTCATGATTACACAGCGATGTGGGGTCTAGAGATTACATTGTGACAAGGCAAAAACAGTCATATAATTTAATGTGATAGTACTTTTCTTCACCAGGAATTTATGAACTACCATTCAAACCTACATCACAAGAGTGATGGTTAAAGGTATTACCTGCTTTTTAACCAATCAGATGCCTAGAATCTATGTATGTGACTATATGACTTCATATAAACTAGGCCTCTAATGCGCTTCACATCATACAATTGTAGTTTACAATATATTTTTTAAGTTGAATAGCTTAGTGGTTAAGATGCTTGCATTCTAATCCCAGGATCCTGGCTTCAATTCCTGTCACAGCAAGACTTTTTCTCACAACTAAAATCAACTCCACTCCCTAAGCCTCATAAAGAGACTTGGTTTATAAAGCATCCATCCTGTAAGTTGTGAGTAAAAAGAATATAAAAAAATAAAATAATTAAATAACTTATATCAAATAGAGCAAAAGAATTCCCAATAATATTTGATAGCTAAACTAAAAAAAACCGAAAAAAAAAAAACCAGTTTAATTCAACTTTATCAATTGCTCAAAGTTCAAAATGGCAATAAACTCCAGTCTCCTGTGGTTTTCCAAGTTTTCAAATATTAAAAATCTGTATGATATTGACCATTCTTGAGTTTGCCTTCAAACAACTTCATTTGTACCACATCAAAAAAAAATATTTCCCTCTGTAGCTTGGCTTAAATGAATGTTTGTCGTCTCTCAAAAAATTGTATGTTGTGTGTATGCTAAAATTTTAAATATTCTCCAGGAGAATGAAAAGGATTTACAACTTTTTATGCAAAATATATTATAATTATATGTGTTGTTATTAGTGTATTTACTTGCTCATTTTAAAATTAATGATAGTGTTTGTTTTGAATTTGTAAATGTCTGCAAAATGGCAAGTATCAAATAAAAGTTTGAATAAATAAATTACATTTTATATATGTATTTACATGTTTTACAGGCAGTAAGAATATTTATGTATACATATGGTTAAAAAGAAATGTGAGATTTATTTTTTTTATATTATTTATTTTTACAGACAATAACCTTTAGTGGCATAACAACTAATATTGATATGACTGGTAAGACATGTCTGGATAATGCTATGTACATATGTGTCAAACTACAAAGGCAGTCCTCTTCAAATCCTGAATTCAAGTTATCAGGCTCTCCATCTGACAGTGATTTAATTGGTTGTCAACAAGTCACATGCTATGGTATGTATTTAGATATTATATTATTAGGGCCCAGGTATTATTTGACAATGTTTTCATATCTCTGATTATATGGCTCAGGTTTTGTGTACAGGACAGGTTTTAACCTATGTAGGTGTGGTCTGTTACATTTTAAGTGGTCTGGTTGTTATCTTGTGTTGTTGCTAAATAACATTATTATTTTTAATTTTGAGTGCTTAAAAAATCTATGTAATTAACAAAAAAAAATCACTGATAGAATCTGAGATTCAGTACCCTTCCAGTGTCTACCTTCAATTTAGCTAACTGACTTATACTGATTTTTAGTTTATCTAATAAAAACAAAAAGCCAAAAAAAAACAAAAAAACCATACGAAAATATACTGCTACTGTATAAGAAGACATACAAAAGCTGAGAACTATTAATAAACATTTGTTTTGTTTTGTCCACAGGTGTTTATGTTACAGGAACGACCCTTACAATCACAGGCGGTGATGAAATCATTGAGAATTCATTGTCATCGCAAATAACCTTTACCCTTGGAATAACTGCAAACGATACTAGAGCAGATGTATCGGGCAGCAATCTATGGGCTGTTTCCTCATCTATCTATTCCACTGATGATTTTACTAACCCTGAACTAATTCCACAACAGATTACCACTGCAGACGATGCAATCAGCAATGGAATAGGAACGATAACCGGAGCAATGGTAACATTTAACATTTCAACTCTCATCTGCTCTGAAATTAACTTTGTTTGTGTAATTCTTGCGAAAGGGGCGGAGGCTGATCCAAACTTCACGCTCGTCCCGGATCCAGACAACACAGCTGTACGATCGTGTGCAAGTCTTACTTGTAAAGGTGAATATATGTAAAAACCAATGATTATTCATGTTTAGATCATATTGAGCCATGCAAATTTTATGCAGATTTTAATTCTGTTCATTAATACCAGAGTCAGATAATAACTTCTAATTATATATTGCTTTTTAAACTTTTACGTGAACTCATTTATGTTAAACAGTGCACGCCTCTAAGTTGCACCAAATCTAAGGGCGGATTTATGGGAGAGTTTAGCCAATGCCACCAGTTTTGTTTATTTAATTATTTATTTATTTTTTTTTTACTTCTTTATTTTTTATTTCAGCAATATTCAAAGACGGTAACCCTTTCAACTTCCATAAAGGGAGGCTGATGTTTAGGGCCCCTGTAATAAATAAAATACATCATACAATATATTACAACTTAAGTAGACAAGTAAATATCATTTATTGAAATTGTGGTCACGCTCTTTTGAACTTTGCTCCCTGTATTTAAAAAAACCGTCCTGGGTCCGTTCAACTATGTAAGTCTATTAAATCACAGTGGATGCTAGATGCAGGTTGCCAGCAAGCTACTTAGACTCTAGAATTAATATATCTAATTTAAAAAAAACATGTTTTTTTTGCTAGGTGTCATTGTCGATGAGACCTCTATAACCGCTGGTGATGACCCAACCAATAGTTGGCCAATTGTCGAAGGAAAGGTGCAGAGTGTATTTCTAGATGTGACAGTTACAAGGGACACTACTTCAGCGACTATATCTGGAGAGGATTTGTGGATATTTACAGTTTTCCTAAGTAATGCAAGTGATGGGTCTGGGACCAAACTCTATGAGAATGATGCAACTTTGGATACATCACAATCAACACAAGGACTGACCTCTGGTGCTCCAGTGGAATTCACTAACATTAAAGTAATTATTAAAATAATAATAATTGTGGTTAGATTTTGTGAAATGTACCCTTCGTTGTAATTTTACATTAGTGCTGGCTAGTTTCATATTTATTGTTTTAATTTTTATTTCAGATGTGGAAATACATTAATTCTTAATCTGTGTAAAACAAAATAAAAAAAAAAAGATATTTTATATCAATAGGCTGCATTTACCTAGATAATGAAGATACATTTTTATTTCTTTACCATTTAAAAAAATAGACATTTATCTACAATTGACCTCACATTATATACCATGGACTAAATTAGTTTACTGGTGATAAGAAAAATATTGAGAGGTTTTTAAAATCACAAAAAATTTTTTAAAAGTTTCGTCTCATTTCATGTAGATTAAATATTTTTGTGGATTTAGTAGACTTATCTGCAGTTTATTAAATTTTAGTTTATCAAAAGAAACATTTAATAAGTGGTGCCTTTTAAAATTTGCCAAATTGTCTCCACATTTTTAAAAGTGTGCATAAATTATGGAAAACTATGGAACTTCATAATAAGACCAACCATTCATTAGCTTATCATATTTAGGCCTATTATTAAATATAGTAAGTAAAGAGAATGTAATGTATAAATAGTAAATGTTTTTACATTATCAGTATTTATAAAAATGATAAGAATATAAACTGTGTAAAAAAAATTGAATGTTTTTTGTATAATATTTTACTTCAAGGTTGAAAACTGGGATCTACAGTCATTTTTGTGCAATGAAGCTGACTACATATGTGCAGAGATAAAAAAGAATGGTGCTACTAACCCAGACTTCACTTTTGAAGGAAGCACAGTCGGTTGTATGCCTCTTCAATGCCGCGGTAAGATTGTACAATAAATATGGAGATGTTTAATACGATATTGAAGTATGCATATCTACGTAAAAAGAACAGTTCAAATGTGATGGATTTGAATACTGTATGACTTTTTTTTTTTTTTTTGTCTCCAGGAGGAAATTATTGTATCAGGGGATTAATTTTCAATCTTATAATTCTGGATTTAATCACTCCGATGCCCCGCCTTTACTTGTGATTAATAATCCGTTCACTTTTTCTGAGACTGTATTTATAGAGCCTTTTATAGGCCCTTAGAATATTTCTGCTTTTATTAGGCGAGACTTTTATTATATATTGTTTTGTAGACTTGCCACCCGCCAATGGAATTTTAGCTTAGAATAATACAATGCGAACAATTTGTCGTGCAATAAAATCTTGAGCGATGGCCTATTGACGCCCTCTGTCTTAAACTGACTGCATATTATTTTTGTATATTTTTCATGTAGGGTTTGAGATTGCCGCAATGACACTGACTGTAAATGTTGGGGATCAAATCATTGAATGGCAACAAGGTCATGCTGTGAACTTAAGTGTTCTCGTGGATCCTGATCCAACTTCAGCATATACTGAAGGTTCAAGTGATTTGTGGGATGCAAATATCTTCTTTAGTCCTGACCCTCAAGGGGATGGCATGCAGTATGGAGAGTCAAGAGCCAATAATGGGGCCTGGGAGGATGTTGGTAAATGAACACATTTTTACATAAAGTCGATTTTAGACTGGGTCTGATGTTCTCATTACATACTATAGAAATCTCTTGGCTTGTTAATATCAAAATAGACGAAAGACATAAAAGTATAATAATGGACAAATGATACGTTAAATACGGAACTTACAAATACCATACAAACAAATCTTTCTACAGTAATTGTTTTTGAATACGGCATGTCTATCCGAATGTTTGAAACAACTGTAAAAATTTAAAGCCTATTTAATTAGTTTATTTTTATAGTTTTTATTGTACTTCAGTGGTATGAGCTTTTAACATTGCCTTACTGTCCCATTTTCCTGGTATTATACAGTACAGTACAGAGTATACTGTATATCACAAAAATGTTGAGACAACAATTGAGGTAAATACCTTACAATGTGGCTGTTTAATTGTATGCAGTACTTTTCACTGGAGGGGGCTATCGGACTGAAAGAAAATAGGAATGTTGTATGATGGCCTAAGCCAGTCGTTTACTGAGGTAGCATGGTGTAGCATGCTCCTTTTAGGGGCCCATTTGATGCTTGTATGTATGATAGGGTTTGAGTACTATTCCAGTTATTTGAAAGGCTTTTGTTGCCATTTGCCTCCAAACAAAGAATACTCATTTGGTAGCTGGTAGGATGCTATCATTCTATTTTGAGTGGTTAGTTTGGTTCAGGCTAATTCCTTCCTGGATGACTGAGAATGAGTTGAGCTTGCTCATATTCAGCTGTAGGTACAAAGGTCAAGAATATACCAGGCAGCTAACGTAACCACTCTGTAGAGTGGCAGTCCCTTCACATAACAATCATACACACATAAGATGCTATACATAGACTCAGGCCTAGGAAGTGAAGTTTATTTTCGGTCATAAGAAAAACTCAAGTTACCATGGCAAGAATTTACCCCAGGACCTTGGGATTGGGAAGGCAAGATTGATATGCCTACTGTTTCCCATGACCAACGTAATAATAATAATAATAATAGTAATAATGATAATAATAATAATAATAATAATAATAATAGTAATAATAATAATAATAATGATAATAATAATAATAATGGGATTGGACGGCAAGATTGATATGGCTACTGTTTCCCATGACCAAGGCAATAATAATAATAATAATAATAATAATAATAATAATAATAATAGTAATAATAATAATATTAATAATAATAATAATAATAATAATAGTAATAATAATAATAATAATAATAATAATAATAATAATTTTGCGATTTGTATAGCGCCTCCTGTTGAACCAACATCGAGGTGCTGGACAACAATGCAATAATGCAAAATGAGGCCTACTGTTATCAATTAAAAAGGCATTAATATAAAGGACTTAAAGGTTATGCTAAGGAAAGTGCTATAATATAATAAGCATAAATAAATAATATTAATAGGTTTGTTGCTATTATTATTATTATTTTGTTAGTGTTCTTAGTGTCATCACTGTATGTCAGTGTATAAATTAAGAGGTACCACTGTAAGATCTGAAATAACTTATGTAATTTCAGTCTTTGTTGTCAAGTGATGATTGCTTCATTATTTTTGTCTTCTGCAGAATTTATTTCGATATCCTCAATGACATTGTCTGGTGTTTTGGCGACTGTCAACCTTAATGGATCATGCGACAATTTACAATATATATGTATAGAAATTCTCAAATCAAGTACTGCAACATTTACATTTGATGAATCTGAAAATGAAAATATTGCATGTACTCAGGTCACCTGCACAGGTTTGTCATGCATTTTATTTAATTTGAGGGAAACTGTTTCTTAGAACTTTGTGTGAGAAAAATGATTATTGAAAATTCAAGATTAAATTGTATTAGTTCCCCTGACCTGGCATCACAGTTACACATACCATAGATGCCCATTACAGGCAGTCATGAGATGGAAAGCTTAAGGTGTTCAACTATATTTCATAAACATGTTAACATTTCCAAGCTAAAATTTACACATAGATTTAATTATATAATGGGTTTTTAATTATTGTATTGTTTTATAGTATTGTTGTTTCCTATGTTTTTCATCACAAGTAGGTCAATGTCCAAATTTGTATTTTAATATGATTTTGATATTAAGAATATATATCTAAGTATCAAATTGTTTATTAAGGCTCGAAAAGTAGCTTTGTTTAAAAAAAATAAGCTGTTTGTGCTCCTACCTGGTTAACAGAAAATACATTTTACACAAATAAATGTGACCATAGATTTAATAGATTTTGAGTTGATCAGACTTGGGCAGTACAGTTTTATTTTTGGCTTAATGTTGTTTTAGGTGTGGTTGTGGCCTCATCAAGTTTAACCATTGATAGTGGAACTCCAGTTATTGAAGGAGGATTCAACCAGAATGTAATTGTCACAGCTAATTTTGTTCATGATGACCAAGGGGCTGATGTGAGTGGAACAGATCTTTGGGAAGTCGTCACATTCGTTAGTGCCAGCGCATCTGGTGATGGAACCAGACAAGCAACGTCGCCTTCCAGGCCGACACCTGTAAGCAACACATTTGACGACGACAATGATCTGCAGTTTTCAAGTGCAACAGTTCTTATTAGCCTTAATGATGTTGTGTGTACAGCTGCCAAATATCTTTGTGTTGAAGTGTTGGAGAATACGGACACAACAGATGCCCCTTCCATTGACTTCACCATTAGTGGAGCAACTGTAGCTTGTACACCACTTGACTGTAATGGTAAGATTTTACATCTGTGTCTCATTCAACAAACATATGTAGGTGAAGCTTAGTGGTTCTTACAGTCTCATATAAGTCCTGAAGAGAAGGGCTGATGCTGAAGTGTTAATACAGCCACTCACTGTGTCGAATGATGGACATACGTGTCGTATGACCATCATTCAGTGAGTGCCCAGCTCTTGATGAAGTAGACCAATATAAAATGTAAGAACCTTCTTGCAAGACGTATAGTATAGTCAAACTCGCCTCAGTTGAATGTGCCTAAGTCGAAAAATTGTCAAAGTCAAAATTATTTTCATGTCACTTCATCTTCCCTATATTTACAATGGTTAATATTTGCTCTAACTCGAATAACTTAAAGTCGAATAAAAACGAACGAAATTACATGCCAAATTGATCTGTTTTCCCTAATTGTTAGTCCGTAAGTCAAAGTCAAAATCTTGACGTAAAACTTCAATCATTTTAAGCTGTCGCCGCTTTACCAATATCGCTGTGAACATCAACAAGTGACTCATACATTTGGTAATGCAGAAATTCACACGCTTAGTAAGCCCGACAAGTGACTCTTGTTTACATTGCACAGACATATTAGTACACATTCCCACACGAGGACCCAATTCTAGTTTCTGTAGCACTTGCCTATTTAGCCTGCCTTACTTCACTTTACTCAAGTACTCCATATCATCCTTGTGTAAAAATATTTGACCTGTGCCAAGCTCTTGTACTTTGCTCATGAGTGCCGTCTGTTCATTGTGATACAGTACTTCATTGTTAGATTGGCCTATCTAGCCCAATTTATGTTGATATTGATACAATACGATATCTGAAATAATAATGACAATGTATCTATGTATGATGATGTGTAGAATGTTGGAGATGACCTGCCTGCTGCAGTGATATTCTGATTTTAAATCATTGTCCTGTGCATTAGCATAATTAAAAAGCGAAATCAAAAACAAGAATTTCCCCTAGGGTGCTCTTATCTCGATCCCTCACCCCGACATTTCCAACATCTCTTGATCCGTGTCCCTATAAAATTCTTAATTTTCCTATTATGAACAAGTACGCATACAATAATTACAAGAGAGCGTGACACAGTTTCAATCCAATTTTGTTATTAATATACAAAAAAGCACCAAGGTTTTTAACAACTGAAATGTTTGAAAGGAAACTCTCTTAAAAAATAACTTTCTTTTTCTCTACTAACTGATTCGATGTGCAACAACTGTACCACGAAATATGGGCTGTACTAACTTAGCTCTGATTATTAACATGGTGCGTAATCGATTGAATAGAATTTTAATTCGGGGTTAAAGTTTCTTTTAGGTGCACGTTTTTTGGCAGAATCGATGCTACGTGAAGATCGTTTATATAAATTGTGATTTTCTTTCTCCTAATTCGATACAGCTTCTGACAATTTTTCATAGCTTGTGAAAGTGCCACCGAGATGCAAAGTGTCTTCATCTGCCATCTTGAAACTTCACCAAGTGCGCGCTACAGAAAAAAAAATATTTGCACATGCTCAATAGGACGTTTTCGTACTCACGAAGCAAGCGGCGCCCTTCAAATAGATTCTCGTAAGCATAGCCTATGATTAATGCTTACGACTCGGCGTAAGCATAGACACTTCGTAAAACTTTAGGTATTTCGGCAGACTTTCGTTCAGGTGCAGGTAAAATCCAGAATTTCCTTACATGTAGTTGAATTAAAATATAAGGCAAAGGTTGAGTAAAGTAAAAATGGAGGCAGCATGGATAACCACAATTTTTAAGTCAAAAGATAATCACTGTATTGTCCATAAATCCAATAAAAACCTATGGTCATTTTTAGAATTTTAACCCACTCAATGAAACTCATTTGCCACCATGGGGGAGGGGGATGCATGCCCATGCTGTCTGAGAAAAAGCAGTGCAGAGGTCTTTAAGTGAGATGCCAGATCTCTTATGCATAATAGCAAATGTGTACAAAAAATGACTTCACCATTGGTCCCCGGGTGGAGCAACCATATGCCAAGTTTCTTTTAGTAAATTTTAGTAGATACCATTCATTCCAGCATGGTATATATAATATATAGATGCTGCTTAACTATCTCAATTTGCTTGAGACCAGTTTTGAATTACCAAAATTACTGCTGATATCTGTATCTGTAAGTAAGGCTGCTGCATTAGACCTCAACGTTTGTGTTCTGGCACAGATGGTATGCAAGTTTGCTTGTGATTCCTCTGTACAAATGGAGAGAATCTTCAACACAATAATTGTACAACAAGCCTTGAAGCATACACAATCAACAAAAGTTCCTTTGAAAACAGCTCATGCTATGGTAACCCGCCTTTCGGCCCATCAGCTGTACACAAAAGTAATGGTCTCCAGCAGTGATTGAAATTAAACCAGATACCATTGATGTCCATATTCAATGCGCACAATTGCTACCGTCATTTTAGACCAGCACTGATTGAACTATTCTACTCTGTGTATAATTAGTAATTTCTACTATAGAGTTATATATTCTTACTAAATTTTTTTTTCATTTTCTTAATCTACATTATCATTTGTATTTTTAGGTGTTATTGTTCACAATGTAACACTGGCAGTTACTGGAGCTGATGATCAACCTCTCTGTGAGGCTAACATGTCATTTCCCTTGGATCTTAATGTTGAAATCCACTTAGCTAGTAACTCCAGAACTTTAAATGGTAAGTAAACTCAATATAATAATAA